CGCCATTTCTGATGTAATTTCTTCGCTAGAATTTCTTCTCTTAAGGCAATGACTATCAATTAAATCGCTCTGAAAATACATTTTTACGTATTATTTCTAATTATCATAACATTTGTCTTTCAAATGTTTACCTTTAAAGTGGATGTCGAAGATATGAGGCCAGAGATATCACTGTTTTTATGTGAGATATTGATGTGAGGGGTAGTGCTAGTGATGGTCGACGAAACACCCAATAGATTATTGTTAGAAGAAGTGGACGACGAGGGAGTGTTAACCCAATTATTCATAAAACTATACAAATTAGGCGTAGAATAAGGCAATTGTGTTGATATGTTTGCCGATGAAATGTCATCGCTTTCGTCCTCTTCTTCTTCTTCTTCGCTTTCATTATCATCTTTGCTGAGAGGACTGGGAGAGCGTCCGGACAGGTATACGGGCACCGGTTTGGGTGCACCCAAATGTTTACCCGAATGAGGCAATAGACGACTAAAGCTGGAAAAGGCCTGTAAATGCAATCAATGCACTGTATATTTAATTCTGTTTCTTAATATAATAATAAAAATCAAAGAAATGCTAGAATTATTTCAACACAAATTCATTTTAAAAAAGTAAAAACAAATTTTTGTTGAAAAATCTATAATTATCTGCAATCGTAAGGAATATATATTTGTCAAAATCAATAGTTTCGGATCGCTTTGGGTTAAAGATACAAAAAAGCAATGAAAATAATTATGTTTTACTGTATTTGTAATGACTTTAAATAATAATTTACTAATTCCTAAATCGATGATATTTTTCAAAAATTTCTTTTTTTGTTTTTTTGTGATATTTTTGGGGTTCAATAGTAATAAATGTGAATAAAATAATGTTAATGTCGGATAATATTAGAAATTTTCTAACGAATCTTTGTTATTTCGCTGTAAAAGGATATTATGTATAGTTTTGAATAATTTAACATTAATTGTGGAGAATTTTTCTGAAAGTTTCGTTTGAAATCTCTTATCGTAATTGTAATGAATGGAAAAATGCAAACTTTATTTGATTTATTCCGTATAATTGGTTTGATATTTCTTAACAAATAACTATAATTTATTTTTCTCCCAAATTTAATGATCGGTTAATTCTAAACTTTATTTGATTTCAGGTTTTAGTAACTAATAGCGAGTCTCGAAATCGCAAATCGTTTTTTTGAATTCAAATTATTTGTAATTCAAAGAAATAATTCATTTGAAGGTTTGATTTCGAGTTATTATTGAATATTTTTCAAGGATTTTAATTAATGTTCATTTATGTATTGATATTTAAGTTAATTATTAATAATTTTGTTAAATTTATTCTAATATTGAATATGGCAAATAAAAATAAATATTTAATTTTAAAACACCAACAATTAAAAATATTACAATTATAAATAAATTTACAAAACATATCAATTCAGTTCATATAATATTCAATAGCTATTTAGTTAATTATTTACTGTAGTTATAAGTTATAACAATAGGAGAGCATTAAACTTTTTAAATTTTGTGCCTTAAATTAATGTATTTCTTAAAAAGTTATTTAAATGATAATAGATATACATATATGGCTATAAATGTTAAGAAATATATTCTAATTTAATTAAAAATTCATTGAATTATTAAAATAATTATCAAAAAACAATTGATTGCTTTAAGAAACAAAAGTTATACAAATTTAGATTTTCTCACTTATAAGCAGATGTGAAAACTGATTAATGTTAGCGAACCTAACATTTATTAATAGCTTAAGTCAAGAGCAGTTTTGCACTTAAATAAATCACATTTCAAGTGCTATATAGTATATAGTGTTGTAAAAACCGAACTAAAGCTCAATTTTAAAATTTTGGCACAAAATCTCAAAAACAAAATATTATGATTAAGTTATCCGAAGACTTCCCAAAGAAACCAAATAAGAAAATTACTCAAAACAAGAGGCGTATTATGGCATAGGATGTACTCCCTGTGTATTGATATATTGATAAACTGTTGATTTATGTGTTTATACAACTATATCTTAATTGAATTTATATTAATAATACATTTCTATATTTATATAGTGTACAGATTGTCTGCAACTCATTCAATATAATATATAATATATTGTTTTGCCAAATGTATACATTCGCTGGAATTTTAATGCTTTCAATAAAGAGTTTAATGAATTGAATTTAGGACAAAAAAAGTTTGATTCAAAATAATTTTTAAACATTAAATTGAGTTTTTAGGCGAAAAACAATTTGTCGATATTCTGTCATTAAATGTTTGTTAAATTCAACTCGTTATTTAGGTAATGATAAAATATAGCTTAATTAATAACATATTTTTCATTCATTCATAACATAATACCGCAAAAAATTACATAAAACGTATATATAATTATTTATACCGTAAATGTTAGTAAAATTCGTGATAAAATCATAAAAGTTTTTTTGTGAGAATATTTTTCTTGTAAAAATAGTCTTAAATATAAAAAATTTGAAAGAAATATTTGCAATTAAATTACTACTGTATTAGCAAAACATTATAGTATTATTTTNTGATAAAATCATAAAAGTTTTTTTGTGAGAATATTTTTCTTGTAAAAATAGTCTTAAATATAAAAAATTTGAAAGAAATATTTGCAATTAAATTACTACTGTATTAGCAAAACATTATAGTATTATTTTTAAATTTATCAAAGTTTGATTATTTTCTAAATTATTACTTAACAAAATTATCTGTAATTCAAACGAATGCTATTTTCATTCCCCAATAATTTTTAGAAAAGTCATTAAAACGGAAAGTGAATAAAATTGGACTTATATTGAGATACATTTCTTAATGAAGTCATGCATTGTTTTATAGATAAAACTTTGGCGGAATTTAAGTTAATTTAAACGATTTTAACTATTTTTCACATTTAAAACGTGGGATAAAAAATGTATAAAAATAGTGTCAGAATTGGCATAATTTAAACATTGGGTTCTATGGAAGTTATGTTGTATTAAAACTTTACAACTAATAATATAAGCAACAAAATGATGACAAACCTGATTACAGACATTGCAATGAAAGTGATCCCTCTTTTTAAGTTTACAGAAGGGAAGTCCACATCCAT